GCTTCCTCATCCCGCTCCCAGGTCCAGGGGGGAGTGTGTAGGGGGTCCCTGTCCCGGCCTCCCTTTGCTGCTGTCTCTATCGAAACCCTCTCCCATGTGCCATTTCATTTCTCCCACACTGCGGGGGGTTCCTTTTTTGGGGTCAAAAGGGGCTCCCATGGCTCCCTTTTGGGCCTCCCCTCCCCCCCAACCACTGTGGCATCCAAACTTGGTTTTGGCCCGTGATGGCCAAACTAGTGAAGTGTGCGGGATTCAAAGATGGGCGGCATCTTCTGCAAGCCCCTACGCCTGACATTTTATTTCTCTTCCCCACCCAGACTCCAAGGGCATTTAAATTAAAGGTCCCATTTTTTTTCAGCACTAATATTAAGCTCCCTGAACCCTAAAAACCCACCCTTTTTTAATTTTAAATTTCCCAAGCGAATTTTATATTCAAACTCGAATCAAAATTTTTTGAACAAATTTTCGCCGATCAGTCAAATCGAATTTTTGAACCTTCGTACCTAATTAAAATGTTTTGTTTTTTTTTTTTTTTGGGGAACCCCAATTTTGGGGGGGTTTTTTCCCCATCCCCTTTGTCCTGTAAAAACAACAAAAGGAGTTTAAAAACTTTTTTCCCAAGGGTGAGATAAACCCCCTAGTAAGTAAGTAAAGCATTTAAAAAACGGGAAAAAATTTCCCCCCCTTTTCTAATCCCCAGGTGACAATTAAAAATTTTTGGGTTTTTTTACTAAATTGAATAATAATTTAAAAACAGTGGTCACCCAAAACAATAAAAAAAGGTAAATTCTTTTTCCAAAAATATTAAACAGCAAAAAAAAAATTGACAGGGTTTCAAACTTTTAGGAAGGTGCAGTCCACTTCCCCCCCAATGTAGGTGGCGTAAAACCCCTGGTGGTACCGCAAAAAGTTTGCGGGGGAATTCAGGAAAATTTGTTTTCCCTTTTTGGGTTTCTGGGCCCCTAAAGGAAACCCTTTCTTTTGCTACACCCAGGGGGGATCCCCCCCGGGTTCCCCATCGTGGGTCAGCGAGTCTTTTTAAGTCCCTAGCTCCCAGGTTTGGTGCGCATTAATGTGGATAGGAGAGAGCAACACCCTGTCAAGGAAAAGTGATAGCTTTGGAGGAGGAGGTTCCTGAGAGGTAGGGACAGGCTAGGAACATGCCATTCCTACAGATGTAAGCCTCCCTTGTGGAACAAGACTGGGCCAGGCTGCATTCCGCTGTCTGAGATAGAAGCTGTCGGTGCATCTGAAACCTGCTGTGCTATTCACGTTACGTATGGAACTGTGGTTTCCCTGGAGTGCGCACTCTGCCACTGGGCTGTCTGTTTAAGCTTGAGCCTATTCCTTCTATAAAAAAAGTTTTATTCCTGCAACTGGTCTGTTTGTGATTATTCTACTGCACCACTTCACAAACTAATTCAAAACTAATATACACTTCAGTGCTGAACTTTAGTGGAAAAAAAATACTATTTCTAGGAGATGTGGAAATTTTTAGCTCGAAGAAAAATTTGTATATCATGTTTAAAAAAAAACAAAAACGAAATTTTTGTCCTAGCAATCTTTTAAAAAGTGTACACTGCCTGCTTAGTACATATGCAGATAGTATACATTCCCTTTGTGGCATCATGTAAGATGCCAAAAAATAGAGTTGGGTGCTGAAAAGATGTAACTCCTCGATGAGGCTGGTGCGTTCAAGGAGTTAACCCATCAGAGTGGCCGGGAAAAAACGGGAAGACCGGTAAAAAGAAGACGGTGGTGGTAGTGGACATAAAGCGAGGGGGAATTAGATTAGTTAGGGACAGCTTTGATCTGTCAGTGCTGGAGAAGGACGGTAAACAGGTCACATGCATCTGCCATAATGGGTAAATATGCTTGGAATTGGTGTACACATTATGACAAGAGCCACCGAACTATAATTGACTTTAAGGAAAGAGGGAGAGATCTTTTGGTGGTTAAACTTGTTCCCTGTTGGCTTTTTTTACTCTGTCTTTTCACCTATAAGTACCACAAGGGCTTGACCATTTCCCCCACCGGTACACTTTGAGCAGTGAGGGCTTATAGAACAACTTCCTGAAAAATAACAATCTTTCACAAAACAGGTTTTCTACTTTTTTTTTTACAGGCCTTTTTAAAAATAAATGGTATTACGAAAACAGGCCTACGGCAAAGGATCAGAAAAAACTTCAGGGCAAATACAAGATAGAGGGGGTAGATGACCTGACCCAGCAAAGTGGAAAGCAAACTTGCGCATGTGCTTCTGAACAAGAGTCGTGTGTTTAAATTGTTGTATCGATGGCACTAAGGAAACCCCATGCAAAAACTTCCATTCAAGATCTACCAGCTATGTGACCTTTATGGGCAGAATGAAGGTACAACTAATACTATAAAGTGAGATTTAAAAAAATCAGTTATATACCTGTATATTCAAAAAGGAATTTTTATCACTCAGTGTGAAAACATATGAAAAGTTCTATCTCAAAAAATTATACAGCATAGATTTACAGTATAACAAAAAAAAAACGGATGTAAAGTTCTATCAGCATTTCAATATTATAGTATCTCCATTACACAGTTGTCAGAAGATAGTGACTGTGAATTTTCATATCTTTAGCACGGTACCTATGACAATGACTAAATCTTCAGACACATAATTTTTGTACTCTCCGGCATTCATGTAAATTGCAAAGTGACCCATGGGTTTTTTTTTTTCCCAAATCTGACCATAATCAGCTGGTCTTTGAGCGATGATCATCTTTTGGACATTGCACCCTATGTGTTTAGGCATTTGTGAAAAGAACGCCACTGTCAAAACATTGATGACAATTTTTTTTACTCTCTTCACTTTCTCTGTCTATCAGTTCAGCTAGTATGTGCATCATCGGTTAAATTTTGCATATTTATCATTTCACTTCTGAAGTTTATTTAATAATCTTGCTTTAGATGCATCTTATTTTTGTCTGTATGATGGAATTGCAGGCCGTACTATCCCACCGCAATCTTACCCGAATTTACCGATCTAAAAAACACATAACACAGTTAAATGGCTTGAATAATGGCGTCGCACTTTTATTGGTATAAGTCAAATAACTCACTATACATCAAACTGTTTAATTAGAATAATTCATCTACAGAAATCTGGTCAGTAGGATGGGGGGGAGTCGAGCTCAAATCATAACTTTAACAAATCCATACCCCTTGATTCAAGGGTGACAATAATAGCCACCAAAGTGCACTGACGACAGGGAGGTGGAGTAGGGATCAACAGTCCAAGTGTCCAGCCAAACCAGTCTCAGAGCCGGTCGGCTGCTGCCTTTTTATGTTGGTACAGACGATTTCCCAGGAAGTTCTGTTAAAGCCACTTGACTTATATTGGACCACTCAGGAAACACTGTACAGGTAAACTAAAAAAAATGTAAACGAGGCTAGGATAACCTTAATTTAAAAATACACTTGAGGTCAGAAATAAATTAATTTTAAACCAACAAATGTGAGGAAGTTGGGGGGGGGTGGGCAGTGACTGCAAAACCCATGCACGTGGGCACAAATTTAATTGTGACTCCTTTTGCCCTTCTTTGTCATTTTAATTTCAATTCTTTGAGTATATACAGTCAGTCGGCCGTAATTGTTGGCACCCTTGATATTTTTCCTGAAAATCAAGTATTTCACACAAAAAAGGTATTGCATTAACAATGTTTTGCTATAATACATGTTTATTTCCCTTTGTATGTATTGGAACAAATATAAAACAGAAGGCAGAAAAGCAAAATATGACATAATGTCACACAAAACCCCAAAAATGGGCTGGACAAAAGTATTGGCACCTTAAACTTAATATTTGGTTGCACACCCCCTTTGGAAAACATATACTGAAATCAGTCGCTTCCTATAACCATCAATAACGCTTCTGACACCTCTCACCCGGAATTTTGGACACTCCGCTTCCTTTTGCAACAGCTCCAGGTCTCTCTTATTGAGAGGGACACCTTTTCACCAACAAGCAATTTTAAGATCTCCTCCACAGGTGTTCAATGGGGGATTTAGATCTGGGCTCATTGCTGGCCACCACTTCAGAACTCTCCAGCGCTTCTTCTTTGTGGCCATCTCCATTTCTGAGTGCTTTTTGACCGTATGTTTGGGGTCATTGTCCTGCTGGAAGACCCAGGATCTTGGACGCAAACCCCAGCTTTCTGGACACTGGGCCCTACAGTGCGACCCAAAATCCTTTGGTAATCCTCAGATTTCATGATGCCTTGCACAACAGTTACCAAAAATATCGGGCACCCAAGTGCCATGAGGCAGCAAAACAACCCCATAAAACATCATTGAACCTCCACCATATTTTACCGTAGTGGGGGTTACTGTGTTTTGTTCTTTGTAGGCTCATTCCGTTTTACGGTAAAACAGTAGAATGATGTGCATTTACGAAAAGCTCTATCTTGGTCTCATTGTCCACAAGACGTTTTTCCCAGAAGGCTTTTGGCTTACTCAAGTTACATTTTGGCGAACTGTAGTCTTGCTTTTTTAAGTCTCTGTGTCAGCAGTGGGGTCCTCCTGGGTCTCCTGCCATAGCGTTTCATTTCATTTAAATGTCGACGGATTAGTTCGCGCTGACACTGATGCTCCCTGAGCCTGCAGGACAGCTTGAATGTCTTTGAACATGTTTGGGCTGCTTATCCACCATCCTGGACTAATCTGCGTTGCAATCTTTCATCAATTTTCCTCATCCGTCACGTTCCACGACCAGGGAGATTAGCTACAGTGCCCATGGGTTGCAAACTTCTTGATAATGTTGCGCACTGTGGACAAAGGCAAATCTAGTTCTCTGGAGATGGACTTGTAACCTTGAGAGTTGTTGATATTTTTGCCACAATTTTGGTTCTCAGGTCCTCAGACAGTTCTCAGTCTCTCTCTTTCTGTTTGTCCATGCTTAGTGTGGCACAGGACAGACACACATGCAAAGGTTAAGTTGAACGTCTCTTCCATTTTATCTGCTTTCAGGTGTGATTTCTATATTGCCCACACCTCTGTTACTTGCCCCAGGTGAGTTTACAGAGCATCACATTGCTTGTAACATTCTTATTTTATCCGCAGTTGTGAAAGGGTGCCAATTACTTTTGTCCAGCCCATTTTTGGAGGTTTGTGTGTGACATTATGCTCGAATTTGCTTTCTTCCTCCTTTTTTGTTTTTGTCCCAATTCACACAAAGGGGAATAAACATGTGTATAGCAAAACACATGTGTTAATGCAATACGTTTCGTGAGAAATACATGATTTTCTGGAGATAATATCAAGTGGTGCCAACAATTTCGGCCCGATGACTGTACATATCTCTGTATTTTTTACCAGCATTTTTGGATCATGCCGTTTTTCATTACAACTGTGTTTTATCACTGTTAGCACTACCCCCACACGGGTTCGCTTGATAATGCTTTGTCCCCAGTTTATAACCGCATATAAGCGAAGCTCTGATATATATATATATATATTATTCTACGGTCAACTGTTAGTGGTATTATAACAAAGTGGAAGCAACTGGGAACAACAGTAACTCAGCCACGAAGTGGTAGGCCACAGAAAATGGCAGAGCGGGGTCAACTCATGCTGCAGCGCACAGTGCGCAGAAGTCAGCATAGCATATACAAAATAAAAATTGCAAGCATATTCAGTGCTCACATGATGATATAGAACTTGTAAACAGGTCCATATAACAGTGAAATAGTAACAATAGTCACTAAATACAATGTAGCCAAACTTGCAATTATGCAGAGCATAGCAGGTATTAAACAATCCGTCCTTCCAAATGGTTTTTGAATGAGGAAAGGTGTGGGCGATGAAGACTAAAACACACACAATCACCGGCAGCTCCTTGCCAAGGATGGGGGAATCCCTCAGAAGACATGCAAAAAGGAAACATAGCAAGGCACCAGGTCAGTGTGATTTAAAACAACTGAAGTTTATTGAAGAGGCACTTACATGTAAAATACTCCACAGTCAGTGTCCTGATTCAGTGCATTTAGCAAAGACCGCGCTCTCTTCAGAGTTTTGGAACTGACAATCGCTGTAGGGAGTGAGGAGAGACCCGCTGGAGATGGAGGTACACGGTGTCCCTCCGTGCGCCCCGCTGAATGGCCGGGGTATCTAACAGGTGCCGTGAATGACAAGTGGGTGGACCGCAACATGTTTCTGAGGCTCCGCCACCTTTTTCAAGTCTAAGCTTGCCTGACTGCACTGTGCCAAGTGCAAAGTTTGGTGGTGGGAGATTATGGTGTGGGGTTGTTTTTCAGGGGTTGGGGTTGGCCCCTTAGTTCCAGTGAAGGGAATCAGCATACCAAGACATTTTGGACAATTTCTGGCTCTCAACTTTGTGGAAACAGTTTGGGGATGGTCTCTTCCTGTTCCAACAGGACTGCGTACCAGTGCACAAAGCAAGGTCCATAAAGACAGGGATGAGCGAGTTTGAGGTGGAGGAACTTGACTGGCCTGCTCAGAGTCCTGACCTCAACCCGATAGAATACCTTTGGGATGAATTAGAGCAGAGACTGTTCCAACACATCAGTGCCTGACATCACAAATACACTTCTGGAAGAATGGTCAAACATTCCATAGACGCCCTCCTAAACCTTGTGGACAGCCTTCCAGAAGAGTTGAAGCTGTTATAGCTGCAAAGTTTGGGCCAACTCAATATTGAACCCTGCGGACTAACACTGGGATGCCATTAAAGTTTATGTGCGTGTAAAGGCAGGCGTCCCAATACTTTTGGCAATATAGTGTGTATGTATATAAGTGTGTGTGAGTGAATATATATATATATATATATATATATATATATATTATATACAAATACACTCAACGGCCACTTTATTAGGTACACCTGTTAAATTGCTTGGTAACACAAATTGCGAATTAGCCAATCACATGGCAACAACTCAATGCATTTAGGCATGTAGATGTGGTGAGGACGACTTGCTGAAGTTCAAACCAAACCGTGCATCAGAATGGGGCATAAAGGGGATTTAAGTGGCTTTGAACATGGCATAGTTGTTGGTGCCAGACAGGCTGGTCTGAGTATTATGAAAAACTGTTGATCTACTGGGAATTTCACGCACAATCGTCTCTAGGGTTTACAGAGAATGGTCCGAAAAAGAGAAGAATGTGATTCAAATAAGTAAGGCCTGTATAACGTTAGAAGCCTTATTTCTGACTGTGTTTATGCACTTGTATTTCAGATTCTTTACCTTTGGAAGCCTTTGCCTGACGAAATCGCAAGCGATGATGAGAAAGATGTAAGAATGCTTTATTTGTTATATTAACATTTTAACATCAACATTTTCAATGCTGTTATTACATTATATGCAGGTTAAATATGGGCAGCACAGTTTCTAAATGGTTAGCACTTCTGCCTGGCAGTACTAGAGTCATTGGTTTGAATCCCAACCACGGCACCACCTGCATGGAGTTTGCATGTTCTCCCTGTGCCTGCGTGGGTTTCCTTCGGGTACTCTGGCTTCCTCCCACACTCCAAAGACATGCTGGTAGGTTAATTGGTTCCTGTCTAAATTGGCCCTAGTATGTGTATGTATGTACGAATGCAAGTTAGGGACCTTTCGATTGTACGCCCTTTGAGGGTTAGGGACTGATGTGAATGGACAATATATATGTAAAGCGCTGCGTAAATTGACTGTGCTATAGAAGTACCTGTAATAAATAAAATATGCTGGCACAGTCAAAATGCTGAACAATTGTGTGGAGAGGGCCAGACATCACTGATGTGGGACTTAAAGTAGCAATCACACAAAAAAATGCAACCAAACTAATTGGATATTTGCTGTTGTATACAATCAACTAAGTAGTGGTAGTCAACTTGAAAATTTATAAAGGGCCTTAAGTGCGACCCCTGACATTCCCAAAGGGCATTTATGGTCAATGGCAATGCTGTAACCCCTCAACCCCCTCCCTTGTACACCTCGACAGTCTTTAGGAATATTGCCTTCCTGGCATTTTGGTGCTCAGGATACCCCATTAGCCCACAGGCTAAACCCTTGTGTTTGGCATCTCCCCATAATATTCTTCATCTCCTTTCATATTGAGTTCACTATCTTATCAAATTGTCATGAGTTCCTAGTACCCTGGAACCCCTTGTTCCTGTTCATATGGGGACTTGGCTTCAGGTGTTGGACATCCAAATTTATGGGTCATTTCTACAGTTGAATTCTATATCCTTGGATACGGTTGATCCCTTTTGTGGTACCTTTCAGCACTCCACTTCCCCTTCACTTTAAAGAACTTGAACCCTCTGTTTCCTTTTGGAGGCACTTTCCTTGGAGCACTGGACCTTATGTGCACCCTAGTGCCTTTTAAATGGCATCCCCACAATGGAACACTCAGATGACCTTTCCCAAAGCGGGTCAGGTTTTTTTTGTTTTTTTTACCCTTTCATTCAGAGCCCTTCTGAAGGTCCAAACACCTTCAAGATTGTACTGGATAGGGCCTCACAGGTGTATAATTATGGTAATTATCAGTCCCCAACATGCGAGGCTGTTGAGCTCAAATCCATGCAAAAGGGACAGAACAATTTGCTCTTTTTCATATTCCAATCTATTCTGGGGGCCTGGAATCAATGCAAGACATCCACATGGTCTCTATGGATATGAAAGTCCCTGGCATGGCACATACAGTGAGGAACAGAAGTATTTGAACACCCTGCGATTTTGCAAGTTCTTCCACTTAGAAATCATGGAGGGGTCTGAAATTCACATTGTAGGTGCATTCCCACTCTGAGAGACAGTATTTAAAAAAAAAAATTAAGGAAATCACATTGTATGATTTTTAAAGAATTTATTTGTCTTGCACTGCTGAACATAAGTATTTGAACACCTAAGAAACCGCAAGTATTCTGGCTCTCAAAGACCTGTTACTGTGCCTTTAATATGTCCACCTCTACTCCACTCATTAATCTAACTTAGTAGTACCTGTCTGAGCTCTTTAAAGACACCTGTCCACCCCACAGTCAGTCAGACGGCAACTACTACCATAGCCAAGACCAAAGAGCTGTCAAAATACACCAGAGACAAAATTGTGGACCTCTACAAGGTTGGAAAGGGCTAGGGGGCAATTGCCAAGCAGCTTGGTGAAAATAGATCAACTGTTGGAGCAATTGTTAGAAAATGGAAGAGGCTAAAGATGACTGTCAGTCTCTCCCTCAGACTGGGGCTCCATGCAAGATCTCACCTCGTGGGGTATCACTGATGATAAGAAAGGTGAAGAATCAGCCCAGAACTACAAGGGAGGAGCTGGTCAATGACATGAAGAGAACTGGGACCACAGTTTCAAAGGTCACTGTCGGTAAAACACTACGCCGTCATGGTTTCAAATCATGCATTGCACGGAAGGTTCCCCTGCTCAAGTCATCACATATCCAGGCCTATCTGAAGTTTGCCAATGACCATCTGGATGATCCAGAGGAGAAAGTCATGTGATCAGATGAGACCAAAGTAGAACTTTTTGGTCTAAACTTCACTTGTCGTGTTTGGAGGAAAAAGGATGAGTTGCATCCCAAGAACACCATCCCTACTGTGAAGCATGGGGGTGGTAACATCATGCTTTGGGGGTGCTTTTCTGTGAACGGGACAGGACGACTGCACTGTATTAAGGAGACAGACAGAAGTAAAGCGCAACTGTTGGGCACTGAGCCATACTTTGATTTCTTATTGGGTGTATATGTGGTCTCTGACTTCTTTAGACCCTGCTAATATTAACCATATTTCATTTTGATACATATGACTTGGGGTTACTATGAATGCTATTTATATCTGTATATTTTCTGTGCAGATCAACCACATGTTCCCCATGCTTGAAATTCAAGGTGAGTATATAGTTTTCCCAGGTAATGTCTCACCATAATGTGTAGATATATATATATTTTTCGGTTTCAAATTTCGATATATGCAATGACATACCTCTTTAGACCCAGTCTTTGTCTTTCAGTATGACTACTTGCAGCATCCACCAGCAACGTAAATCTTCACTCAGTTACAGAATTTGAATCCAACACAATTTTACTTCAGATAAGCACAGTAAAGAAGATGTGGTTCCAGTCTTTTGATGCGTAGTAACGAGAATGTGTTTCTAGTCTTTTGATGTATACCTTATCTCTCAGATGACTAATGCTCACTGAGAGCACATGGAGTTTAGCTAGGACTGGACTAAAACTAAACAGGAGGGAGTAACAGAGGGGGATACTAAATCCAGAAAATAAACAAGTTGTAGTCATGCTGAATTACTAATAAATGTCAGTATATATTAGGACACCAATAACATGATGCAGTTCAAAGCAATGACAGAAAAATACATCAAAAGTGGGACACTGAGAGACCTTCTACATTTATCGTACCTGTTGTAGTGCATTTAGAATGGCAGATTGTAAGGGCTGAGTCACAAGTAAAATAGAAAGTAGCAGTATCATCCTAATATATTTCTGGCTATACATTTGTATTGTTTCTCTAACATGTTCTGTGAAACTTTCTTTTCAGATACACTTCCTCCTTACACTTGGCCCAAGTCTGAACCTGTTTTTAGTTCCTGTCCGAACCTTATACAGCCCAACCTTGCACTAGCTGATCCTGTTGTGACCCCAGCAACTCCTGTAACATACCCTGGTGTGGAGCTGTCACCACAAGGCTTGGTAACACAACCTGTAGTAATACCCCATCCAGAGCTGGTTGCCCCAACAGGTCTGGAGACCACACAGAATGCAGAACTTCCTATACCAGGAGTGATGACTGCACCTGTCGAGTCGGGGATTCCAGGCTTACTCATTAGTCCGCAGATGCTGCCATGTAAGTACAGTGGAAGTCATATACAGTATATTATCCCTAATTTATTAACCACTTGCCCTCCAGAGGATTTACCCCACTTCTTGACCAGACCATTTTTTGCAATATGGAGCTGCATTACCTTAACTGACAATTGTACGGTCATGCAACGCTGCACCCAAATTTAATTTCTTTTGGTGATATTTGATCACCTGTGCTTTTTTTTTTTTTTTTGCGCTATAAACAAAGAAAGACCAACAATTCTGGAAAAAAAAAACCAATATTGTTGACTTTTTGCTATAACATCTATCCAGTAAAAAATTTTAAAAATTAAATATCTTCATAAATGTCTTTGCTAAAAAATAAAAAAAACAATACATGTAAATTAATTGGTTTATGTGAAAGTTGTAACGTCTACAAATGGAGGTATATATATAATGGAATTTTTATTTTATTTTTTTTTTTTACTAGTAAAGGCGGTGATCAGCAACGTATAGTGCGACTGCGGCGGGCATTCTGACAATGGGTGGGAACTGACTAACTGCCACTGACATCCCAATGACACTAATACAGTGATCAGTGCTAATAAAATGCACTGACACTGTACTAATGACACTGAATAGGAAGGAGTTAACATCTGGGGCGATCAAAGGGTTAACTGTGTGCTGTTTTACATCATGTGCTGTGTGTGCTTTACTAGGGAAATATGCTGCTGTGTATTTCTCTGTTGTGCAGAGAAATACACAGCAGCATGTGTTTGCTGGCAGGAGAGAGACCTATGTTGTTTACTCACAGGTCTCTCCCCTGTCAGTTTTACTTGGCAATCGCCAGGTGCCGGTGGGGAAACTTCGGCTGGGACCCGGTGATTGACATCCATAGCCGCCAATGGCAGTACGTGTGTCCCATACCCTGAAATGCAAATCACGTGTGTGTGTGTGTTTGTTTTGTATGTATGAATGTGTGTTTGTTTGTATGTGTATGTATATGTGTGTGTGTGAGTGTGTGTGTGTGTGTGTATGTATGTATATATATATATATATATATATATATATATATATATATATATATATATATATATATGTATATATATGTGTGTGTGTGTATGTATGTGTATATATATATATATATATATATATATATATATATATATATATAAATAATGTGTGTGTGATTTTGCGCAGCCCTGCCGCCCTGTAGCAGTACTTCTACTATAGGGCGGCAGGAAAATGGTTAAGCTGCATTTTGAGCCGACATGATAATATTGATTGTAAGGTCACTTTAGCATACCTTAACGCTTATGAATACAAGGTTTCCTCTGATCGGCTGAGGTGGAGAGGCAGGTGGATAACATCACAATCTCCACTTCAATCAGAGGAAGTCTTGTTTTCATACAAAAAAGGGGGCTTCCTGTGAATGGCTGAGCATCACTCATCCCGTGTTGTTTCTTTTTTTTTTTTTTTTTTCTAGCAGAGACGGAAAGCTTCCATTCCATACAAAGCTCTGTATACTCTATACAGCTGATGTTACATACACTATACACAGTGCTGGCAGCATCCACATTGCTTAGCAATGGAAATAGTTTGTTTGGAACAGCCTGTCACCCAAATAATGCATAGAGGGTGGTCTTTAACACGCACATACGTGTATATGGACGGTCGAGGTTTCTGTTTTGAGAGCGTGCTCACTGCACATTCCCAGCATTGTGACCAAACTGTCATAGCTCTTCATCTCTCATTATGATTAGGAGTCGGCGGGACAGGCTTCTGATCATGTGATCACCATGACAGCCAATTGCAGTGATCACTTGATCGGGAAGTCCATCCTGCTCCCCAGGCATATAGAGTTAAAGGAATTCCAGGGTGGGATGAAAAGGGTAGAAAGTAACAAAAAACCTGGAGTTAGGCTTTAAGCGCACTTTAACTGCCTCCCGCCCACCATATAAAGAAAAGGACAGGCAGGCAGCGGTTCTCTTGTTCTGGGAGGACGTCATATGACGTCCACCCACTGTAACTGGGCATACGCGCCAATCGGTGATGCACTGTGTCCCTGGGACACAGCGGATCACCGATCAGAGTAAAGAGCTGATGACGGAGGGTCTGTCATGTGATCAGCTGTGTCCAATCACAGCTGATCGCATGTAAACAAGGTAATGCCAGTTGTCGGCAGTCCTCTCCTCACGCTGACTGGCACGTGAGGAGAGCCGAGCCAGTAAGCGGTATTCCTCAGCGGGGACATCTTGATGATCAGTGCCCTGATGATCAATGTAGCCCCATCAGTGCCACCTGTCAGTGCCCATCAATGCCACATATCCATGACTACCAGTGCACATCAATGCCACATATCAGTGCCCATCAGAGCTGCCCTTCAGTGCCAACTATCAGTGCCATATACGAGTGCTGCCTTTCAGTGCCCAAAGGTGATGCTTGTCAATGCCCATCAGTGCCTGCTCATCAGTGCTGCCTATCAATGCCCATCAGTGCAGCCTCATTAGCGCACATCAGTGGAGAAAAACTACTTATTTACAAAATTTTTATAACAGAAACTAAGAAAAAAACTTTTTTTTTTTTCAAAATTTTCAGTCTTTTTTTTTAGTTTGTTTAGCAATAAAAAAAACCCCACAGTGGTGTTTAAATACCACCAAAAGAAAGCTCTATCTGTCTCAAAAAAATGATAAAAAAAATTGTGTTTGGGTACAGTGTTGCATGACCGCGCAATTGTCATTCATATTGCGATGGTGCTGAAAATTGGCCTGGGAGGGAAGGGGTAAAAGTCCCTGGTAGGCAAGTTGTTAAGTACTGCTAAGAACTTGATGAATCTGGGCCACTGTGTCATACAGATGTCTCTCAGAGTTATCAATCATTGTAAGTGTACATAGTCTGGATATAGACTTTTAGCAGAAACAACCTACTGTATACTGTATGATAAAACAACATTTCCACAGCCAGTTGATATTAGGTCAGCAAAATGTTTAGTGTGTAAGGGCTCGCTCACATGTGAGGCAGTCCTTTCTCCACTTATGAAAAGTGATCCATGGTGGGTTTTCACCATCTGTCTTAACTCTGTAATGTCACAACCACTGCACACCCTACACCTGGTTGCAGTACAGCCCCTATACACTTAAGGGCTCTTTCACACGGTCGTTACAATTGGGTCTGCCTGCCCGTTTTTTTAGACGGACCCGATCAGAACCTCCATTCTCCTCTATAGAGCAGTGGGTGTAAATGGACATTTGTCAGTTTACACCCGCCGACATCTGATCCAATCCCCCAAAAAGGGACAGATGGGGATCCAATTCTCCTTCCGTCGATCGGATTGGATGAAAATGGACAGGCGGTCCATTTTCATCCAACTGCCCATTGAGGAGAGCCAGCAGTTCTGTGTCTGCTCTGCAGCAATGGAGGGGACACAGAGCTGTCATCTGCTTGCTCAGCGAGAGATCCCTCGCTGAGCAAGCGGACCCGCTAAACGGGTCCGTCCCTTGTGAAAGAGCCCTAAAAGCGTTGCGTTCAGCAGTGGTACCGCCCACCGAATACAACATGCTGGTTAATGTATGCCATGCCAGGAAACAAAGCTTCATGGCCGCAGCCTGTGTACAGCCCTAAGCGGCTACATGACCTTCCTCTTTAGATGGCCGATCAGGAAGCGGGTGATTAAAAACGCATCTCAACCTCATGCTTTTACCATTTATACTTATTTGTTAACATTCTGATTACAAAAAGAATTCCTATTTGCTTTGAAAATATGCTCTAATTCAGTGGTTCTTAACCTTTTTGGAGGTACTGAACCCCACCAGTTTCATATGCGCATTCACCGAACCCTTATTAATTTGAAAAATAAAATATGATTTTTAAAATTCAAAACATAGGTATATATTTATACATAGGTGCACAAAATGAACAAAACCATTAAGAACAAAGAACAAAACCATTAAAACATGATTTTCACACAAAAACAAAATAATGAATATTTACCGCAAATCAGTGTGACTTCTGCTGTTGTCTTTCAGAGGCCAGTTCAGAAATGCACGGCATTACCTTGGCAAGTGCCACTCTCATGTCATTTTCGCAACAAAGTCTGTTCCTTTTCTTCGTCTTTATGTCCAGCATCCTCGAAAAGGATTGCTCGCAAAGATATGTTGTAACAAACGGTATGAAAATTCATCCCCCATAGTAATTCATCCCCCATAGTAATTCATCCCCCATATAGTAATTCATCCCCCATAGTAATTCATCCCCCATATAGTAATTCATCCCCCATATAGTAATTCATCCCCCATATAGTAATTCATCCCCCATATAGTAATTCATCCCCCATATAGTAATTCATCCCCCATAGTAATTTCATCCCCCATATAGTAATTCATCCCCCATAGTAATTCATCCCCCCATATAGTAATTCATCCCCCCATATAGTAATTCCATCCCCCCATAGTAATTCCCCCCTATAGTAATTCATCCCCCATATAGTAATTCATCCCCCATATAGTAATTCATCCCCCATATAGTAATACATCCCCCCCATAGTAATTCATCCCCCATAGTAATTCATCCCCCATATAGTAATTCATCCCTTATATAGTAATTCATCCCCCATATTAATTCATCCCCCATATTAAGTCCCCAAGTCCCCCCTGTGTCAATTCACTTACCTTTGCTCCACGCGTTCCTTTCCCTGTATTCCCGCGCCGTTCCGGTCTTCAGGGCGGACTGTGAGAGGAGCCTAGCTCCTCTCACGTTCGTCACGCTGCCCCGCCTACACACATCCTGACAGCCAATCACTGGCTATCAGGATGTGAGTGGCAGCGAGACTGGCCAATCATTGCATTTGAGTCCCTGCCGCCCGAGAGGAGGGAGGGGAGCGGGCGCCCGGCACACAAGAGCCGCGGCTTGCCGACCACTAGGCTAAGCGATGTTGCGTGACCACCTGCAGCCAATGATGGACAAGCGGGGCATGTCATCACAAATCATATGAGTCGGGTGTGGGTCACCTCCGCCGAACCCCCGAGACTGACTCACCGAACCCCTGGGGTTCGATCGAACCCAGGTTAAGAACCACTGCTCTAATTTATACTGGAATGCACAGTGGGCAGGTGTCAGAATATTTTCAACAATGCTGATTAACTTGTCACTTTGTATCTGCAGAAACAATTAAGTACTGTCCATGATACATTTTCTATTTGCACTAACATACAACTTTTCAGGACAAGCCTTTGGGGTCTACCCCCTTCTTTAAGGTCCAAGCAGTACTAATCTGTGTCTGCAGTCATTCTTCCAGTCTCAAATTGCCACTCAAAGGCCTCATCATCATCCATCTATAGGACAACTGACTATGGGGTTTATTTACTAAAACCAGAGAGTGCAAAAACCTGGTGCAGCTGTGCATGGTAGCCAATCAGCTTCTAATTTCAGCTTGTTCAATTAAGGTTTGGCAATAAAACCTGGAAGCTGATTGGTTTCTATGCAGAGCTGCACCAGTTTTCGTAAATCTCCCCCTATGACTATGTTCAGCTAAAATTACAAAAAGAGCCTTATAAGTAGCTTACAGAGTGATGAATGCTTCACTCATTTCTATTTTTTTATGCATCCCTGCTCTGTTGCCATCAACACTGATTGCACAACTGTACAATGAACACAGATATGTTTTGTAATCTTACATTTTTTTTATCTTGGTATCATTTTTTATTATCGCAGTGACTGATCTGGAAATGAAGTTTCTATACAGAGGGAAGCAAGTTGGAATGATGACAGTTAGTAACCCTCATGGTTGCCGCCTCTTCTACAGTAACCTTGAGCCTACCCCAGAGCAGGTGGAGCTGTTCGGCCCAACTACACTGGAACAAGTTCGATTTCCTGGAACAGATGAAATTAGTAATGAAAAACAGAAGTTCTACACTAACCATCTTCTGGATGTAATGGACCGAGGGCTGATCCTTTGCCTGCAAGGCCAGGATATATATGCCATTCGCTTGTGTCAGTGCAAAGTCTTCTGGTCTGGGCCATGTGCCCCTAATGTAGGTGGACCCAACCCTATAGAAAGGGAGAAGAGAGTCAAACTATTCAGCCTTGAGACCTTCTTGAATGGTGAGTGTTGGGGCTTTAGTTGTTGGGAATATGTAAAAAGGTACTGTACATTATATTGCTGATTCCATATAACATTTTTTGTTGGGATTTGAATGAGACAGTACAGATCCAGTCATGACCAAAAGTATTGGGATCCTTCCACTTTTAACCAAAGAATCCCAGTCTATCGTGAAAAGTTTAACCACCTCAATAATGGCCACTTTCACCCCCTTCCTGCCCAGGCCAATTTTCAGCTGTCAGAGGTCTCAAATGCAATTACTCAGTCATGCAACACTGTAGCCATATTACACTTTTATAATTTTTTTTCACACAAATAGAGCTTTCTTTTGGTAATATTTAATCACCAGTTTTTTTTTTTTTGTTTTTGTTTGTTTTTTTTTTGAGCGCTATAAATGAACATTTTTTCAACATTTTCTGTGTTTTTCTTAGTTTCTGTTATAAAAGTGATTTTCCTTCAGAACTTTTGACCAAAATTTATTCTACTCGATTTCTTTGGTAAAAATAATCCAAATTGGTGTATATTATTTTGGTCTGTGTGAAGTTGTAGAGTCTACAAGCTATGGTACCTATCATTGAAAATTTATCTCACCTGACATACTGATTATGCATCTCATTTCTTGAGGCCCTAACTTGACGGGACAGTTCAAATACCCAACAAATTACCGCTTTTTTCACAAAAATGTCATATTAAGTTTTCTCACACACGGCATATGCATACTTGCAACTACACCTCAAAGCACATGCTGCTTCTCCTCCTGAGTATGGTGATACCACATGTGTGAGACTTTTTCACAACCTAGCCACATAGAGAAGCCCAACATCCAAGGAGCACCTTCAGACATTATCCACTTTAAGACTAGGCCTTCTAGAACATTTTAGAACCCCAAACATTTATGTTTTGTTTTTTTGTTTTTCTATCAGAGGTCCTAGAGAATAAAATGGTGGGTTTCGCAATTTATTTTATGTAATACTGTATTTGCGCAATGTTTTTTTTTCGATCACCTTTTTTTTGGAAAAGATACATTTTAATGAATTTTAATGCACACAAACAAAATATAATACCCAATGTTTTGGTAAAATATATAAGATATGGTGTTGTGCAGAGTAAATAGATAACAAACATGTCACACTTTTTAACATTTTGCACGCTTGTGGAATTGCGCCAAACTACGGTATTTAATAAGCTCCATATGTGATGCTTTATAGGCCTTTACAGGTTACCAGCTTAGCGTTACAGAGGAGGTCTGGTGCTAAAATTATTGCTCTTGCTCCAACATTTGCATCAACACCTCACACGTGTGGTGCAATCAACGTTTACTTGTGCATATGGGACCAGCACGTGACGGGGCACTTTAAAATCTTGTTATTTTTACAGTTTCTTTAAGTTTTTAAATTACATCCCTTGTGACAGCAATAAAAGTAAACATTCCTTGTGAAAGCAATAGGCAGTGACTGGTACTCTATATGGGGAGATCTGGGGTCTATTAGACCCAGATGTTTCCTCTGCCCTAAAAACATCTGATTACACCAAGATCGGTGTGTTCAGTTGCTTTTCCTATTAAAAAATGGTGCTGTTTACATTTGGGGAAACCAAACTTGACCTCGGCACTCGTCCCTTCCAGTTTCAAACCGCAAACAGGTCATCAGAGACCTTACGGTCCTCCGTGGCTTCTATGGTAAGCCAGCTTCAGTTATGGGATCTCTGGTGGGATGGAGATCCTGGAGAGGTGGCAGTGGAACACCAACAGATGTTGATGTTGCAAGGGGACACTATTGCAGATGTTGATGGGACACTGGTACACTGTGACAGATGTTGATCGTCCATGGGCAGACACCTGGTCCACTAGTGACACCGACAGATGTTGATGTGCAATGGGACACTGAGAGATGTTGATGTTGCATTGGGACACTATTGCAGATGTTATGCACTGGTATACTGACAGATGTTGATAGGACCCTGGTACACTGTGACAGATGTTGATTGGGAAGGCCAATCAGAGAGCCTATATCCCAATCTGTGATGTCCTGTGTCTGAGAGACACAGCTATCATGGGATGATGCCGCTGCACGGCCCCAGGTTCTGACAGGACGTATAGGTACATCCAGTCAGACCAGGTCTTGTCCCACCCGGCTGTTTATGTACAGTGGCTAAAGCAGTTGATAATCTACACAAAATAAATTTAGAGCTTTATCACTAACATTCTAATCATGTAAAAAAAATCCTATTTATTTATTTCATCTCCAAAGGTTTGGCATTTAAAGTGAAAAGGATTTTCTTTTCATATATTTAAATATTTGAAATGAATATTCACTCAATTTAAGTGAATTTTCTCAACTCCTTTAGTAATTAAACCTCACTGCTTTTGCTTTATGAGTTTATTACAGTCTGTTTAAAAATATTATGGTTTATAATAGGTTAAGTCCAATGCAGTGTATGCCACTTTGTGGAATTTACTCTTTTATTTATTTTACATTTCCCTACAATTACACCTTTACTGAGCACTGTGAGTACAGCGATCGCTATACATCTGGTGCTTTGGACCCAGAACTTCAGATCCTGCAGCTGCAGAGTCGTTAGCAGCATCTCTGTTTGCCCCTTCTCTCCTTTTGCCCAGTCACAGAAGGCTGTGTAGTAGGCGAACCCATTCATAAAATACAAAGTATTCTGAATGGACAGCGGAAAGGAGGGTGAGCAATGCAGCTGCATCTCTTCTGTCAGAGCGCTGGGAGTATAGTAATAGCTATACTCTCAGTACTCATGAAAATGTAAATAGTAAATAAAGGAGAACCCTTGAGGTGGCAGGCACCCTTTTAAACCAGCATATTTTTAAAAGGGCTGTAATTCTTGAAGTTGCACTTTTAACTGGTTTGATAATACAGTTGGCAGTGTCTCCACCCAGCCCAGCCTCTATGAACAAAGGGGATTCCCTTCCTGGGAAGTTAACCAGTAATCTAATCAAAGTAATTCAGAGCAAAACTACTGCAACCAGCATATAACATTAACCATATGTATATAGATGTACACTAGTATGGAATTAATATAAACTTTATATGAGAAAAGATTAACAATAGTACATACATCCAATGTAGAAACCAGTATCATCAGCAAAAGGGCCAACAATAGTCTTGCTGGAATGGTGCACATATATTCAAGTATATATATATTTAATAAAGATACCTCCAGATGAATGTTGCAGCAAAGTCCTGTTGCAGAAGCCCCTGAGGATGATCACAATGCAGCGTTCATCTTGGTGATGACCTGACGACAAGATCTGTGATGATGCGGAAACCCTCCAGATGCTGTCCAACCAGCCTGTAAAGCAGCTTATCAGCAGAAACCAGGGTGTAGCACTGGAACTCAGAGTCAGCCTATCTAGTCTGCTGTTAGCCCCTAGTAGCATCTAATCTGTTATGCAGCCTTGCAACCAAACTAGAACTTTCAAAAGTGGCTACCAGAGACAGGAAAAGCATACATAATCATAGTATCAGCAACTCAGGCATTTACAAATACAGACAGTAGAGGGCAGCAGATCCCTGCTCAGGCACAAATGGATGTCTGTTTACTTCTGTATATTTGTAGCAAAAAAAAAAAACATAGTTTTGTTTACAATTTTGTCATTCATGACTATTTTTTTGTTAACATTGAAAAAATGGACATTGATATAAACTGAACCTAAGACAGATGAATGAACTAAAAGGATTCAAATTTCGTGCATTTTTTAAAATCAGTTTTTTTGTGATGGAACTGATGACGCCAATGTGAAAGGACCCTAAATTGTGACTCTGTGGGTAATTGTAGTGGGTTACTAATAATTTGGCTGTGACTGTATAACTAAAAAGATGGACTGGTTCTGATTCATCTCTGCTTTATAACAGGATTTATGCTGCTGGCAGCTGATTGAGGTTTTACTGTGCATACATAGTATCTATTTTGTTGCCACGCACCCAAAATGTATTTGATTAATGTGGTTTTTTTTAGCAGTATTTACTACCTGTTTCTAGGCATGGACCTATTAAAAACTTCAGCACTGATTCTCAGACAAAAGGGTGAATCACTCCTTTGTAATTAAAAAAAAACATTAATAATTGCCAGGTCTTTGAGTAAGCAAAAAAGGCATGCAAAAGCATGTTGTAATTTTTTCAGTTGAACACCTCGGAATGTCAGTGTATTTTTATTTTAAACCAAAGCATAAAAATTCATGTGGTTTTTAGTGAACTTGATATGAGGATGCCTCAGTAACAGGCAGATTATTGCAAGTGATTTTCAAAGTTTTAAGTGTAATGCAGATTTTTCTCTGAATTTTTCCATGGAAAAAAATCCTTTCAAAATTAATGGATGGCTGTAACTTCCACTCTAGAGACCTTAAAGGGCTAGTGCACCCAAAAATAGAAATTTTTGTAATCAAATTTTTTGCTTTAATTTTTTTTTAGTCTATAGTCTTGTACCTAGAATGTGTATTCAGACAGTGGAGTGTAGGCATATATTAGCCTGAACCTAGTCCATGGGATTATTGGAGCATTGGATGCCAGAACTAGAAGATCCTTGGTCCTAGTCAGAATCAGGAGTAACTTGTTCTAAGCCTTGGGGCCAGGATGTTCACATCTAGCGTCTTCCATTTCGGACATAGAAGGTCCATTCTCCTTCGTGCAGGTGATGACAACTGAGGAACTCCGCCTTCCAATTGTCCACTCCCATAATGTGAACAGCAGAGATTGCTGGGAAGTTCTTTTCCATCAAGGAGATGATAAAACCTAGTTTCTTCAATGCTGCTTAACTGCTGGTTCCCCCTGATGATTGATATAGGCAACTGCTGTGACATTGTCAGCATCCAAATTGGGTGTTCCTGGAAAAGGGGGCCCAGTGGCATAGAGCCAATTCCTTGGTCGACCAGGTTCCCTGAACTGAGAGATTGAAACATTCCTTCCCAGGCTGTGAGGCTGGCATCTGTTGGTATCATGTTCCATGAAGGTGGGAACATAGAGTTGGAAATTGTTTATTC